GTTATAAAACTAATTAGTTTTCCGTGTTGCAAACCAGCCTTGACTTCAAGGCTATTTAGTTTGCCATCTTCTGCACCATGTGCATAGATACAGAGAAGTGAAAGTACAAGATGTGTCTGTGACAGTGGGAGAAATGGAATGCAGCTACAGAAGTGCGTGTGTGTGTGTTCGTTTGTGTGTCCGTGTTTCATCCATGTTCAGAGATGAAACTGGAGAAGCTGTTCCGGGCGAGGTTGTGAAGGGACTTTAATGCCAAACTAAGGAGATAGAATATTGTCTTGAGGATGGTGGACTTCCAGGATGAGATGTCTTAAAGCATAACAGTATTGTCAGCTTTCAAAAGGAAGAATATGCAGATACTGTGGAAGACAAACTGGAATTGCAAGATGAGCTGAGGTGAGTATGGGTCAGAAAAATTATTTATTCAACCAGTATTTATTAAGTATAGACAATATGGCAGAGAATGAACAGATGAACAACAAACACATCTCCCTATTTGATGGAGATTAGTAGAGAATTGGTCACATGCAAATAAATGGTCACATGCCCGTGGTAACGTTGTGGTTTATAATAAGAAATATGTATTTAGTCTCCAGCCCAGTTCCTAAAGCACAGAGCCCCTAAAACCCTTGGAATTTCCTGTGATCGGAGCAGTAAATGTGTCTTTTTTTAATGTTAATAAGGTGACTTAGGGTAAGCCCTCAGGTAACCAGGATGGGGGCTGGTTGCCAAGGGAACCAACCTTGTGATCCGAGGTTTGGAACTTTGGATACCCGCCCCCCACAAACCTCCAGGCGGGGAGGGGGCTGGAGGTTGAATCAATTGCCAGTGGTCAGTGATTTAATCAAATCATGCTTATGTAATGAAGCATCCATAAAAACCCAAAAGGACAGATTTCAGAGAGCTTCTGGGTTGGTGAGCACCAGGTATTTGGGGAGAGTGGAGTGGTGCTCCCAAGAGGCTATAGAAACTGCACACTCCCCCATACCTTGCCCTATTCATTTCTTTCATTTGGCTGTATCTGGGTTATATCCTTTTTTATACTAAACTTAATCTACTGAGTAAAATGTTGAGTTCTGTGAGCTGTTGTAGCCAATTAACCAAACCTGAGGAGGGGGTCATGGGAACATCTGATTTATAGCCAATTGGTAACAACCTGGGCTTGTGACTTATGTCTGAAGTGGGGGGGTGGTGCCCAAGGGGGCAGTCTTGGAGGACTGAGCCCTTAATCTGTGGAATCTGATGCTGTCTCTAGGTAATCCTGTCAGAGTTGAGTTGAACTGTAGGATACCCAAGCGTTGTCTGGAGAATTACTTGGTGCTGTGTGGGATACCCCCCCCTTCACGTTTTGGGATTGGTCTCAGGACCATAATACCTATGATCCTATGAAAAGGTGATAAACTTCCTAGTTCTCAGAAAAATGCAAAGTAAAACTACAATGAGATATTATACCACACTCCCATTAGAATGCTGAAAATGAAAAAACCTAAAAATACCAAGTGTTGGCAAGGACGTAAAGCAAACTGAATTCCCAAACTCCCTTGGTGGCAGTGTGGCCGTATCTACTAACACTAAACATACACATATCTGGTAAGCCAGCAATTACCACTCTTAGATAAAAACCTAAAGAGAAATGTATTTCAGGCCAATGTATTCTGCTCTACATGTCTTGACAAGACATGAGCAAGAATATTAGAGCAGCACGATTCAGAATAGACCCAAAGTGGAAACCATCCAAATGTCCAGTGGCAGAAGGATAGATAATTTGTGATATATCCACACAAATATTTGAATAACAACTAAAATGATTGGACCGTAATTTTCCTCAGCAACTTGGAACAATGTTACAAATAACATTGAACAAAGAAGCCAGACATATGGGTACATACTCTTTGACTCTGTAAAGTTCAGAAAAAGGCAAGACTAATTTATGGTATTAGAAGTTAGGAAAATGGCATATGGGTAGCGATTGAAAGGAGCTGCACAGGGCGGCTTCTAGAAGACTTGTAATGTTTTATTTCTTGATCCTGGCTGCTTGTTATGTAGTTGTGTTCCATTTGTGAAAACTTATCTCCCCATACACTATACACTTAGGATTTGTATGCTTTTCTGTATCTATGTTTTTCCATATGAATATTATATTTCTTCTTGAAACAAATTCTGATAATTAGTATTGATGTCTACTTTTCACTTGAGGAAAACTCACTATTACCTGAAAGTCACACTCGGGTTTTTCATCTCTCTCAGTATTAGTGCCTGCATGTTTTGTTGCGAGAGCACTACCAACTATGGAATAAAGTTAGAAAAAAGTTAAAGAAATCTGTCCCTGTATGGTTAAGTGTGTGAATTCTATTTAGAAAATCTGTCACGGTAGCCAGGTGAGATATTAGGAAGGGTTAAGGCTGTGACAGGGGAGAAGATAGCCTTGATTTGGGACATGGGTCAGTGGTAGGATCAACTGGATATGGTTGCCATTGGAGATGTTTCTGATTTAGGATATGGAATAGTTGACATCAGCAAGATTAATTAACAGGTGCCAGGATATGTGGGAAGGGGCTTATTTATGTTATTGTCTGAGATGGCATTGGGTATCTGTGTTAGGGTTTTGGAAAAGTGCATGAAGCATCTGAGATGTTACGTTTGTAGAGAGTGATTTGGTGATCATTTGGATGGTAATTGAGGCCTGGAGAGGGAATGAGATCACTGAAGGAGCAGTAATTCTCAGCCTTGGCTGCACATTAGAATTACGTTGAGAGCTTTGCAAAAATACGCATGCCTGGGCTGCACAATTTACCAGCTAAAGCAGAATCTTTGGGGGGTAGGGCATAGGTAACTGTATTTTTCAGAAGCTCCTCAGGTTATTCTAATATGCACCTAGACTGGGAACAAAATAAGACAAGTGGATCAATAAATCAGACAGCAGTGCATTTATTGAATGGGCACTATTTTCAGCGCTGCTAATTAGCTCTCGAGGTAATTACCGTTACCTCTTTTTACACTTATGGGGAGACTGAGGCACAAGAGTTAAGTAGTTTGCCTTAGGTTATGCAAACAGCTAATTAGTGCCCAGGCCAGGATTCACAACCAAGTCATTTACTCCAAGGGCTGTTCTCTACCATAACATCCTATTGCTTCTCCAGTCAGTGAATCTGGGGAGGATTGAGACTTTTGGAACAGCAGCCTGAGAAACTCAGCAGACCCTCTCCAATGAAGCAACATTTTAAATGGTAACAAAAAAATATAAAAAATAATTAAAGTCATTGGAAATTGACCTGAGGACATACAGCAAATGGAGAAACATTCAAGAAAATCTCCTAAATCTTGGTAAGAGCAGTGAGTCTGCAGTATTTGAACCATGACCTGCTCCCCACCTGTCCTCCACCAGTTCCATATGAGGAAAGCTCCATTCTTGGTGGATCCAGCCAAGAAGACAGTACTCGCCCCCTCCCCCCAACCCCAGCTTGTAGTCTAGGGCTAGGAGAGTTAGACCACCTGCTCTGAGAAATACTAGAAATATCAGAAGGAAAGAAGGGAGCGGGGGAAGAAGGGAGGGAGGGAAAATGAGAGAGAGAGGGAAAATGAGAGAGAGAGGGGGGAGGGGAGAAAGAGAAAGACAAACACTAATGTATACATCGAAGAAGCCCAGCCCTGTCCTGCCCCCTCCTGTGGCTGCCAGGCTGTTTGTCTCACTGTGACTGCAGGCTGGGGATGCCTGCAACCACAGTGATGCCCGCAGTTGGGATGGGGGCTTGGGTGTAAGGCCAGTTAAATACCACAAAGCTCAGTGTTCTTCCTGAGATTCACAGCTTTTCTTGAATAAACGCTCCCTGGATTGCTGCGAGCCTTTGGTTCATTTCCAGAGTTCTGTCCCTTTGCATAGTTTTCTCATTGCTTTGATAGAGGAGAGAATTTTTGGAGGCCTTTATTCCCCCCATTTTTTGCTGACATCCTAGTTGAATTTTTATAGGAATTTTCTTAAGATTAATTAGTGGCTGTTTATAGTTTGGAAATCTAAAAGCCCATCCATAAGGACCAACTAAAAAAAAGAAACCACGGTGTATCTTTATAGCAGAGTATTATGTAGTTGTTAAAAGAAAGATGTATTTTTAACTCTGCTGGTAGAGAAGATTTTTTTTTTCAAGGGATAATGCTAAATGAAAACAAGTTGCAAAATAGTATATGGTATTCTGTTTGTATAAAGTATTGAGTAAACAAGAGGAAAAACACAGGTGTGTGCTATATATATGCATAGAACATTTCTAAAAGAATATAATGTTTTCCTCTGGGCCATAGGAAGTGGAGGGTCCTTTTTAGATCTTCACCCCATTTACTCTTATTTGAACTTTTGAGTATTACTTTGAAATAACTTTAAAAAGTCATTGAATATTTGTTAGTTTTAAACTACCAATAGGATATGTGTTAATTTAAGGTCTGCAAATTAAAGATTGCAAGATCTTAAAGACATTTGTGTTCATAGGAACCTCCCCCCCCCCCCCGCCCCTTTGGTTCTCTGAAGTGAGCACTTGTGATGTAGTTTCAATGCTTAGGAAATCCTGTTGCCTGAAAACTTTAAAAATAATTAATTCACTTTTAGTTTTGATCAGCTGGGATAATCCACAAGTAGTGGTAATGACTAACCTGTTCTCTTTTCACCCCAGTGATCTTCTAGACTTTGTACATTAGTATCCACCCCCTGAACAAGTCACTGTCTTTTGTAAGAACAGTAACAGCCATCTTTGTCACCTTTATTTTTGTCTTTGAAAGAGGAGGAATAATCACTCAGTCCTGAAACATCATGAGTAGGTAGAATTTAATTATCTGAATTGAAAATCTTCCTGTAAACTGGTGGAAAAAACCCCTAACCAGTGTGTACACATAGGTTCTCCAGGGAGTTTTTGGTTAGCTACGCTGTGAAATCCTTGAGATTTCATAATATAGCTTGTCTCATTTTCCTGTTATGAAATGGGGTTTTCAGCCTGGTTTTTCTTGTCTGTTTTCAGATCACAGAACTGTGTGGTGCAAAGCGGGTTGGTTGGTTTGGTCCAACACAGTTTTACATTGCCTTAAAACTGATTGCTGCAGCACAGTCTGGCCTCCCTGTACGGCTAGAGAGTCTTAAATGTGGTAAGTATCTCCCGTTTATGTATTTGATTGTCCATGATGGCTGTCTTGTTTATGAGAACCATTTTTAGTGGGCTTAAGGCCCGTTATAAGCATTTGTGGAATTTCTCCTTGCTTCTTCCAACTGTTGTAAAATAAAGTAAGAAAACTTAGCAGGTATCTTACTTTTTCTTTTTGAAATGGGAAAAATATTCAGAGAGTGACCTGAGATTCATGCCTTTAACGGACTTGACGTTAAAATAGTTTTTGTTCTTCAGCAGAAGGAGATCGGGACAGGAATTCTAGAGCCTGTGGCAAAATAATAACATGTAGTTTTATTTTCCTCTTGAAGAATATATAATGCCATTTGAAATTCTGTTAGGGACAAGGGGACAAGTACGTGGGAGAGTTAGAGTGGAACCGCTCCTATTTCTGCTCCTGCCCCTGCGAGTCCTGTCATGCATGATCGTCCTTTAATCCCCCAATTCCTGAAGCACCCTTCTAATGATTAGTAAGTCCTCTGGAGCTACCAGACTTTTGGCAGAATGAATTTAGCTTCTCAAAGTTTTGATTTAACGTTTTCTTATCTTGCCATCCCTGCCCCCAACCCAGTGAATGTTTGAACACTTTCCACAACTTAACAAGTAAAGCCCCAGAGCATCATTTATACTGCCTCAGTATTGGGTTTACAAATCTCTATGAAGAAGGTGGTTATTCCAGGGCTGTGCTGAAGTCCTCTGTTCATTTACTCTGATCTGAGTTACTTTCATAAGTTCATGCAGCCATGCAGGAACTTTATCCTTTTCCTCATTTTGAGATAAAAACCACTCATCTGTCCATGCCTGTCCTGTGAAGTTCTTGATAAACCTCAAAGTGGGTTCAGGAACCTTGTAGGACAACTCTTAAATAGCTGAGAAGATTCTGTTAGCTTGACTATGGGAAATAAAGCCCTTTTGCGCTAACCATCAGGGAGCCAAAATCATCCCACTAATCTTTATTAAAGGCTTAGTGTCCGCCAGATACCATCTCATTTAGTCCTCACGACATCCTACTAAATTAGGTGTTTGTGTTAGTTTGCATTGCCTACGATAAACTGTGAAACAAATCCCACTGAAATCCCAGTGCCTTAACAAAATACAGGGTCACTTCTTGCTTTGCAGTGGGTCGCGGTGACCCTCTAGGGCAGCTGCCCTCCATGTGGTGGCTTCAGGATCCTGGCTACTTTATCTTGTGGCACCCCCCCTCCCCTGGCAAGCACCTGTTCCTATAATTGCTGCAACAGAGAAATAGCTTCTCACCCTAGCAGTTAAATACTTGGTCTTGGATATGACTCACATGACTCCTGCTCACAGTGCATTGGCCAGAACTTGTCACATGGATCCACTGAACTGCAGAGCAGACTGGGGGCGGTGTAATTCTCTTCTGTGCCTGCAAGGAGACAACTGGCTCTGGATAAACACTGGAAGTCTCTCCTGTGGTACTGTTGTTATCCTTCTCTTACAGATGTGGAAATTGAAGTTTAGGGGGCGTTGAGTAATTTGCCTAAAGACATAAGGTTAGTAGAGTTTGGAGCCAGAAGCTCAGCCTTCACTTTCCTCGATCTTCATGCATAGTAGCCTCTTCTTGATTATTCGGTTTAGTAAGGTGCTGATTATAATCTGGAATCATGGAATATATTCTGAATGGGAAAAAAAATCTTACCCAAAGGCATCCCTTGATATTACATAATTTGGTTCCTTAAAATAGTTTTTAATGGAGCATTATTTCAGTGGCAAGTTTGGTGTTTATCACTATAAGGCAGAGTGGTCTCTGATGTAAGTCACTTGCTGTGATTAACATCACATTGTAATTGGACTTGGGGTAGACACGGAAAGCTTCCAGTTTCCATTCCATTGTAAATGATCATTAAGCTTTATTGTTGTATCTTCCAACTTTATCTTCTGGAAAAGTTAAAGCTGCTTTGTTGTATTCAAGAATAAATTTTTAACACTTTTGTTGTTTATTTTACGTTAGAATGGTCTTTTACCTGATTTGTGCCCACATCTATAGCCAAATTTCCTGGGAGCGGAAAAGGGGGAGAAGGGGGGGAGTTGTCTAAATTATGACATGTGTAAAGGATTAACACTTTTTCACAAGTGTAAGGCCTTTTCAGTTGTATTTTATAAATCCTGATGCTGCCTTTTACCTTTGACAGTTTAAGTATACTCACAGTTAATTTTGAACTTATTCCTTCATTTAAAGATTTATTAAATGAAAGTTATTTGCAGTCAGCATATGTTAAGTAAGAATGAGGGCAACATTGGGCCACACTTTGAGCTGCCACTTAGAATTTTCCAATTTACTGCTTGAAATCCATTAGTTTAATGTTTGATGACACAAACCTTGAAGGCCAAAGAGAATGCTCTGTGAGAACTTAATCTGAAAGGTTGTAGTAGCTTCATCACACTCATGGAGTTGTGAGTCTATTCTTACTTCACGAATTACATGCGTCTGTGTGCATGTGTGTGTTAACCTCTAACCCCCAGCCTTGCCCATTTTGGCCAATGCCACCAGCATCTATAGTTGCTCAATCCAGGAACCTAGAAGTCATCCTTGATTCCGCCCTTTCCCTTGCTCCACAATGTAATCCATCAACATTCCTGGCAGTGCAGCTCTAGTCTCATTGCTTGCTCCCTCCATCTCTCTATACCTACTAGACCCAGCCATCTTCAGCCACTCACTCAGATATCACAGTGGTTTTGTCATTGATTTCTTGGCCTCCTCTCTTCTCTCTTTTAGTCTCTTTTCCCATGCGGCAGTAGGAATGATCTTTTCATCCTACTCCTTGAAATCCTCCACTGGTTGGCTTGTTGTACATCAGACTAAAATCAAAGTCACTACACTGATCTTTAAGGCCCTTAAGTAATCTAGTCTCTGCTTCTCCATCCTCATCTTAAACTTGCCCCCGCCCCTTGTGTTCGCAATCTGTAGCCCGGCCTCCCTGGCCTAGCCATTTCTGGTGTGGGAAAGACCATGTTATCTTGAGGTCTTGGGTTCCCGGCAGTCTGTTTCTCCCCCTCTCTTTCCAGTGGCTGGCTTTTCCTCCTCATCCTTCAGGATTTGTGGACTGTCCCCACCATCCTGTCTAAAGTAGGTTCTGTCAAATTAATTCATTAATGAAGGAACCAGTGTAGAGTAAAGCTGGTTCAAGAAAGTGTAGGAGAGTCAGAAGTATTTATAGTCATGGAAAGATAGAATGCTGGAGTAAGATTGCTAAATTACATATAAAATTGATGAATGCCCTGTAGAGCAGTAAAACTGTAATTTGGTTATTATACTCTTTTCTAAGATGAAATTCACTTGCATTGCTATTAGACAAGATTAGTTAGCTAACAGTTTTCTACCAGTAAAGTTGTAAGATGCATAATGAAGAGTAAATATTAACTCAAAACAAAAGTACATATCCCTAGGGAGTTAGGTAATCCTTGGATGGGTTAATCCTGTTAGATAATGCTTCTGTGTGACAGTCCTCTCCCTACCTTACTCTCTCTCAGCATCTGTTCCTTTATAGCACTTTAATCAGTTTGTAAATACTCCTTTACAGGTTTGACTAATTTCTGTCTTCCTCACTAGTCTGCAAGCTTACCTGAAGGGAAGGGAGGAAGATCTGTGCTGTGGAGCACTGTGGACACTCAGGGCACATTTGTTGAGTGAATGAAGAGATGAGTGTTTGTGCATGGGGACTGAGTCTTAATCATCTGTCACTTTTTAAGCTCAAACAGTTGGATTTCAGATTCATCCAGAACTCCTGAGGGATTTCTAAAGAAGTCTTCTTTCTCAGGCCGTGGTTCCCAGCCTTGTTTGCACTTGAGAATCTGCTGGAGAGCTTTAAATGCAAAGTAAAAAATAGAGGTGCTAGGGGCCACCTCCAGAAATTCTCATTTAATTAGCCTGTGGTACAGCCTGAACATGGGGATTTTTTTGTTTTATTTTTTTTATTCTTATGTTAATCCCCATACATTACACCATTAGTTTTAGATGTAGTGTTCCATGATTCATTGTTTGTGCATAACACCCAGTGCTCCATGCAGAATGTGCCCTCCTCAATACCCATCACCAGGCTAACCCATCCTCCCACTCCCCTCCCCTCTAGAACCCTCAGTTTGTTTTTCAGAGTCCATCGTCTCTCATGGTTCATCTACCCCTCCGATTTCCCCCCCTTCATTCTTCCCCTCCTGCTACCTTCTTCTTCTTCTTCTTTTTTTTTTTTCTTAACATATATTGCATTATTTGTTTCAGAGGTACAGATCTGAGATTCAATACTCTTGCACCATTCACAGCGCTTACCAGAGCACATACCCTCCCCAGTGTCTATCACCCAGTAACCCCCTCCCTCCCACCCCACCCCCCACTCCAGCAACCCTCAGTTTGTTTCCTGTGATTAAGAATTCCTCATATCAGTGAGGTCATATGATACATGTCTTTCTCTGTTTGACTTATTTCGCTCAACATAATACCCTCCAGTTCCATCCAAGTCGTTGCAAATGGCAAGATCTCATTCCTTTTGATGGCTGCATAATATTCCATTGTGTATATATATATATATATATATATATATATATATACACACACACCACATCTTCTTCATGAACATGGGGATTTTTAATAGCTCCCCAGGTGATTGTTATGTGGAGCCAGGGTTGAGACTGAGTTCTTATGAAAGTTGAGTGGAGCATTTTCGAGAGCTTTGCTTACACCATGAGTATATATTTGGTTATAGCAGGGCCTGAACTGGGGTGAGGCCAGAGGCACCCAGCATACGTAACTTTAAGGGGGAACTCATTCTCAGGGCTGTACAGGTGCTGATTCTGCGTTTAAAGAATCAGGGCCTGAGAGTAACCACCTCCTTAAATGTTGGCACTAGATCTCTCTCTAGCTTCACCTTATTTGGCCAGTTACAGAGATGGTGAAGCCTTATGATGATTTAAGAGAACAGAAGGAAGGGGTGAAATTGAGGACCAATGAAGAATTCCTGATGAGGAAAG